ATATATATATATATATATATATATATATATATATATATATATATATATATATATATATATATATATGTATGTATGTATATGTATATATATATTCTGTCTACACTCAGGTCAACAGCGAGTTATCGTCTGAAACATAAAGTGAATCTGGAGGAGGCATGGGTATTTGGCTTTGACCCAGAGTTGGAGGATGTGCTTCCTTCAGACCTGGACTCAGACTTGGACTTGGGCATGAGTCTGGTCCTGGCCTGGGATCTTTCCGTCTGCCTGCTGACCTTCTGGTGAGTGTGTCTCCTGGCTTTACTGACTCGAACACTAGCTCAGCCCTTAGCCCTCTACTGACTTTTTTTTTACAGCTGATGTCATCAACATCCGCTGGGGGTGTGATGCTCACTGTAGGCGGCGCTCTGTCAGAAGCTCGATTGAATTGAGTTCAGACTGCAGCATCTAAAAATGCATAATATTTGACTCGCGTCCAGTGCGTCCACTGTGGTCTGCGAGTGCCTTGTTTTCCTGGGCGAGAGAGTGACTTTAGTGTATTTATTACATCAAACCCATCAGTGGAGGGAATAATTATAACATATAATAACATATAACTTATAATGAAAATGACACGGCAGAGATTTCCTGTTTGTTCTGGCTCCTGGGCCTTTCTCTTTCTTTTCTTTCTTCTGGATTATGACATTGCTATGTTACTGGATAGCTGTCCCTGATTGGATGACGTGGCTCGTTTGATGACAAAAATTCCAGAGGGTCCAGAGCGTCTGTTGTATGAACGATCCAGACGTGTCGTGTGGGCAGCAGATTCTCCCCTCACTGATGCATGAAGACACGTCGCAACACAGGACGCCCTAGACGCACGTCCACAAAGACGTTGCATGTAAAGCAGAAGCCTTGACCCTCTCATCTGAAAGACTTTAGGCTTTAAACAAGTCCCTCTCAAATAACATTACAGGCACAAGCTAGTTAGTATTAGCAGTTTTTTCAGTTAGTCACTTTCACTTTTTGGTTTAAATCAAACACCTAAACAGGACCATAAACTGGTTACATTTTCCAGAACAGGTTTCTTGAGTTTTCACTTAAACGATTTTGCCGGTGTTTGCTAAAGTGTGCATTGTGTCACCATGGTAACTGCTGAACATTCCACCATCGACATACATTCCCAGCGTTACGTCACTGTGAAGTATCAATTAACCTTATTCTGCCCCACCAGTGTTTGCCTCTGAATGCTACTGAAGCACAGTTGTGGTGGCAGGAATTCAATTCATTTTAATGGACACTGGATTTGAGAAAAAAAAGTATGATATAAAGCAGGTTGATTTGTGTAAAAAGTTCCATGTTCATGTACACCAGCAAATCAACAAGGCACCAGTTCTGTGTGAGGCTTTTAAACAGCCCCATACATAATAATAGAACAATAATAAGAATAATGACAGCTTCAGCTTCAGGAAGAAGATCTCCAGATGACATTTTGAATATTACTGCTGTTGTCAGATGAACCATCACAATTTTACAACTATTTAAGATTAGTTACACAATCACCAGACAACAGAGAAATTCTTAATCCATGGTCATTTTCATTGTCTCTATTATGTGACAGGTTTATGAGATCAAACCTTCTGAACTAAAGTTCTTATATAGACCATCTATAATTCCCAAAACTGGTGCAGTTCCTTATAGTAGCACCACCTGCATTTTCCATGGACGAGCCTCCAAACATGAAACTTGAACTTGATAGAAAGCATGAGTAGTCCTGTTTGAAGTCTTTATTTAATTTAGTTTGCCAAATGGCACCAAAAATATACACAACAGCACACTGATCTTAAAGAGGGCTGTGTCACTTCTATGGGGTATTAGTTATTAAAACATAACTTTTCAGATGTCCATGTGACCTTTTAATGTTTTGAAAATACAATGTTCACCAAAAACATCGTAAAACATAATATCATGTTAATTAGTTTCAGCTCAGCTGAAGCCCTCTCCCTTTTGTTGTCATTTCCCCTTCAGAGCGCTCTCACATCACACGTGTCTGATTATGAAGCGTGGGTTATGGAGGTTTGTGGGCGGAGCATTGTTCAGACTCGTATTGTAAGGAGGGTTTGAACAGTGCTCACAAGAGATCACAAGATAATATAAAACTCCTTCAGGCATGTTTCTGATGTTATAATATACTAGAAAGCACACAGAATACATAATACACCCTCTTTAAAATGTTAGTTTTATTTAATTTAAATGTTACTTTTATTTTTATTGAAGTACTGACCCTCAGCTCACTGTGTGACTATCTCTTGAATCATGATCTCGTGGTTATCTTGTGCCTCTTTCGTTTAGTGATAGTAACATAGGAAATGTCATGTGACGTGTGCTGAAAAACAGAAGTTTGTGAAATGAAAGTCTATTGCTGTAGAAAGGAAAGCAGTCCTTTTATCAATAAATTATCCTGATGTTTTCTGTATTAAAATAATGTGAAAATTGTGAAGTACCAGTCCAGAAAATATTGATAGACATGTGTTCTAGTTTTTGCTTTGACAGCAAAGATAATATCTGTCCTAAACCAACTCTGGTTTCCAGTGACCTACTTTTTGTATTATATAACCCTGCAAGTTGGTTTGTGATCACTGTAGTTAGTTTGTAGAAAGTTTTAAACATTTAATCTCCCTTCCATTCTGCCTACTGGTGGGTTGCAGATTGTTGTTATAGAGCAGTTCTTGGATGGAGTCATTAAAAGAAATGATGGGGTTTAACATATATCAACTGATGTAATCAGGACATAAGATCTGACATATGAAATAATCACAATCTAGAATCTGAAAATCTCCAGTTGGTTGGTTCCACTGACAAATATCACAACCCTCTGAGACCCACAGTTGCAGAATTGCAACATTTACTTAGAGCTGTCTAGTAATGCCTCACATTGACTGAATGTAACAAAAAGTGCATATACCAGCACCCAACACTCTGTATTACATTATATTACACTTTTGGAGGGAAAATATGAATATTGGAGTGAATATGACATTCCAAAGTCAAACGACATGGCTGCCTTCTACTGACCACCCAGCTCTCTTTTCTGGATACATTTTAACAATTGTATAAGTAAGTAAACAATCTGTGATATTTTTTTCTTTCATTCTTAACATGTTTAGTGTTAGAAAAGTTAAATATATTTTTAAAAAAGTATACTACATATGAGTTAGAGTGATTTAAGTAAATGTTGCAAAAACGCAACACTGGGTTACAAAGGGTGCCCTTTTTACACAGAGAATCCCTCACCCCTGAGTGTTTGAGCCAATAGAATGTGTGTGTGTTTATAGTTGTGTACTATATAAAATTGTATAATTTTGAAATAGAATCAGAGGACAGTGTTAGTGAGAACTGTTTCCAGTGCTGCTTTCATCCTTCCACATTGTGGATAACCACAGTGTTACAGAAACAAGACAAACTTTGGAAGATTTGGCTATGGTTGAAGTCCTTCAGGGAGAAGTTTCTACAGATAGTGCTAGAAAAGCATAATTAATACATTTTTATTTATTTACTATTATTTATTAATTAATTAATCATTGCATTGCATTTATATAGCACCTTTCAAGATCCCCAAAGTGTTTTACAGTTCATTATTCATTCACTCCATACTCAGTGGTGGTAAACTACTACTGTAGCCACAGCTGCCCTGGAGGCTGCCAATCGGCGCCACCTGCCCGTCTGACCTCCACTGCACACACCACTTTGTGGGTGAAGTGTCTTGCCTAAGGACACAACGATGGGGTTTTTGCAACTGGCGCCCCACTGTGGCACCTGGAATTCACAGTGTCTCCCATCCAAGTACTAATCAGGCCCGGCCATTCTTAGCTTCTGAGATCTGACGAGATCAGGCTTTGACAAGTCAGGATGGCCAAAACTAACTCCATTGATGAAATGATGATTCCTTTCAAGGGAAGGTTCAGTGGAATCAGGCAATATATGCATGGTAAACCCCATTCCTGGGGCTTTAAGGTCTGGGCAAGAACAGGAATCTCCAGCATACTCTGTGACTTCGATGTGAACCAAGGTAGTGTGCAGGGTAACCCTGCTAGGTCTAGCACCAGACCATGGCCTAATCTTCCAAACTTTGTCTTGCTTCTGTTCATCCCTAACACTGAGGTTGTCCACAAAGTGGATGGATGAAAGCAAAGCACTGGAAAAGGTTACAAGGCATCACATCAACTATGGGGCCATACCGTGTACTTAGTGCTGTTCTGTATAAAAAAAGATGGTTTTTGTTTTGTTTTGTTTTTTTCAATTAAATTTATTCATTTTAAAATATGTTTTAATTTTATTGAGTGAGCAATAACTAATACAAAGTTGGCTTTTATTAAATGTGAAGTTTGTAATATTTGTTACCCCTAAAGCCCAATGTTGCAATTTTGCAACATTTCCACAGATTCCTCAAAAAAAAGAAAAAAAGAAAAAACTAATTATTTTCTGTATTAGAGGCTTAGTACAAACATGTTAAACAAGGTTAAAAAATTTTTCATCCAGGAAATGAATCCTTGGAGAATGGTTTGAATAATGGCAAAAAAACAAGATAAATGACAAAAGTTTCTCTTTTCCTGTCATATGGTAGCAAGCATTTGCCAACAGTTTGTGCCTCTCAGATTATTTAGTTGAAAATCAAACTTCCAAACAGGACGATGAATGCTCGTATTGATCACAGGCTCCTAAAAATGTGTTGTTTAAATCCATGTTGTGTTTTTTCTTTCTTTTCAGACCATCTTAAAACTTTTAGGCAGTGTTTGCTAATGTGTGCATGAACATCCCACCACAGACATACATGTAGAACCCCCAGTCTGATGACACAGCAAACTATCAATATTTTGGACTAAAACTAAATATGACCAAAGCTAAAATGGGCTGCTCTAAATGACGAAACATGATCATCTAAACTTCTCACTTTCCACTGGCAACGTATACTCTGAAACCAGGAAGTGGTTTTTGGGGCGTGCCGTGATGTCACTTCCTCTCCCCATGACTGAGTGACACTTTCCTAAATGTTGTGTAAAAGTAACTGTGGTGGCGGGTCACATGCATTTGAAGCTCTACTGCTGTGGACTAACTCAGACCATGCTCCTGTTGCAGCTCACCTGATCACAAAGAACGCTGGTTAAACACTCTCCACAGGTAAGACAAACACTCACTCAGTCTATTCTCAAATACAGTTTGAAATGATTGTTACTGAATAACACTGGAAATGAAAACTGCCAATAGAATAGTAGTTTTAAGATCATTTATCTTATTTTAAATGGAATACTTGCTGCATTAGTAATGTTCTTAAAAGGTAATGACACGGAATTCAAACTATTTTAACTTTTAAGACTGTTGTGGTTGGACAGTATTATTGTGTGTTTCTGTGCTTTCTGTGTGCTATTTTTATGTTTGTTGTATTGTTCTTTGCTGCTTGTACAGCACTTTGTAAAGCTTGTTTTTAAAAAGTGCTTTACAAATAAAGATTTGTTATTATTATTATTATAGTACACTGCCAAAAATGCATATACACAGGTTTCAAGTGGTAGTAATAGTAGTAGTAGTAATAGTAGTAGTACTACTAGTAGTAGTAGTGGCACTGTACTTGTAGTAGAAGTGATAGAAGCAGTAGTAGTAATAGTAGCAGTGGTAGAAGATGCAGTTATGTAATAGTAGTAGAAAAAGTAGTAGTAAAGGCAGTAGTGTAGTACACAGCAGCAGCAGCAGCAGCAGCAGCAGCAGCAGCAGCAGCAGCAGCAGCAGCAGCAGCAGCAGCAGCAGCAGCAGCAGCAGCAGCAGCAGCAGCAGCAGCAGCAGCAGCAGCAGCAGTAGTAGTAGTAGTAGTAGTAGCTTTATCGGCGTTAACATCATGTTAACATCAGCATGTGCATCTTTAGACTTTGTTTGGCCTCCAGATTTTTGGAAATGCAGATTTTGCTGCCACATGCTTTTCACTGGGTGGTGGGTAGTACATGACCTGCTGAGTGGGCCTGAAAGGACAGCGGCTTACACGTGCTATGATTCCGTACGGTAAATTCCCCACTGCACCATCTGTTTGTGAGGTGGTTTTCAGCATGTGGGTGCAGGTGACAGAGTGCAGAGGAGGGACAGGGGCTTGGAAAGTACAAGGGCACGGAGTAAAGGCCACTTGATTCATTTAGATTCGTTTACATAGTGGGTTTATTCTCAATTCTGTCAGCTATAATAATAATAATAATTACTTTGGGCCACAAGATTAAACACAATGTTATCTAAATCATGATCACAAAGGCTGACATTTTTGAAGTACCACAATTTCTTCCACAGACATCAAAAGGTTCAGTCTTATTCAGCATAAAAGCTGCTAACCCTCTAGTTTAGATCTGTACAAACATGTTCTCAAATGTGCTTCTTGTATTAGTTTGTCAGTTAAGATTTAAGTCTTTTTGTCAATTCTCCTGGATGAGTTTGGATGAGAAATGTGAACTTTGATAAAAATTCTATTATTAAAACATAAATCGCAAAATCTAAATTGCAATGCTTGTCCAAATAAATCATCTGGAGATCTGGCTCAAAACTCAATTTGTCCAAAAATGGACTTAAGTCATGTTGTGAAGTATGAGGAATAACAGGATTTTCCTGATATCTGCTTGTCTCCCTTCAGGAGCTTACTATCTAAATATAAATGCATTCAATTTACATTGTGCTTTTTGGACAAAAGAAATTACTTCACACAGGTGGAGGTGGTAAGCAACTGTTCTAGCCACAGCGGCTCTGGGATAGTTTGGCTGAAAAACAAAAGTGAAGGCTCTCTTCATGTGCTCGTTTGTCTGGGCTAAATCATCATTTTAAAACATTTTAAAAGCATGTGCTGATTAGTTTGGCTGAATTGAGGCTGCCAATGTGCACCAAAAGCCTATTTACTTCATGCATCCAGGGGTGGGTGACTGGGTGAGTGAAGTGTCTTGCCCAAAGACACAATGACAGCACTAAAGTCATAAACACTCAAAGTTAGATGCTTTAACATTTAGTTTAAAAGTGTTATTTCATGTTGTGTAGGAACATCTGTGAGACTAAAGCTCGAGCTGGTAGAGAGTGTGCTCCCTCAGACGGCCACATGAAGGTGTCGACAGGAAACATTGCAGTAAGTGAACACAACACACTCTGTACCAACCACAGCCAAACTCACTAACAAACACCCTGCAACCGCACAACCAATCACCAGCAAACAACTGTTCAAACATGCACCGGAATTACAATACAAAATGCATCTAACTGTTTTTTCTCTTCTTCTAATTATGACTTTGTTTGGTGAGATCATATCCATGGTAACCTTTTGAAGGAAAGTTGGCAATTAGGAAAGGAATCCCTCTATCCATGCAAATTGAACCTTAATTTAAAAAATGAAGCTGTTTAAGTGTATTTTAACTTGTTAAATTATAACTATTGTGTGAATTTGATGAGCTTTGGCTCTTGTTTCCAGTGTGGTTGTTAGATTATACTCTACTTATGATCTGCTCCACTTTCTAACCAGGAAGTAAAAGAATAAACTTATAAAATAATCAAAACTAAGCAAGAAAAAGTTGGAGATTTTAAGATGTACCCTTTAATATCATTCAAATAGAAGTACAAAGTGGTGGTCCAACAGTCTGGATAGGCTGGGCCACCCAAAAGATAAGAATGAAATCACACGTTTAAGGAGCGATTAACCAACAGCTTTGTATCTCTACAGGTGAAATCTCTAAGCGGAGGGGGCATGGAACATCTTATTGAACTACCAATCAATGTAAGTGCTCTTGTGACCCCAGACACTTGTGTTCTGTTTGAGATTGTGGTTATGGTTGTTTCACACCTGATAGTGCTCCATGTTCATGCTGTTTATTGTTCAGCCCAAGCACAGCAATAACCAATGGCAGAACTGTTCACTTATTCAGTCCAGGAGTTGCATTAGACCTGAAGGAGCAGTTAAAATAGAGATAAAAGTACTCTGAATAGTACTGTTTCTTTAAAAAGTTGCTGCAAATGTAAGTTCTAACCCTCTGTGGACACACATAAACTCATTCTGTGGAACAAATCAGGCAACAGTAAGATGTAGACTGATCAGACGCACGTGTATATGCTCTTATATATGCTCTTATATAGAGAAGGTCTCCCACCTGCTTGTATCTGTGGAGATTTTATTGCCTTGCCTCCAATGTCCCACAGGGTGGCATTACACTCACGTATGTCCATGTAAGTGGATGAAGGCAAGTATATGCTTTATACCATGAGGAATATTCCAGGCAGAACAATAACATTGCCATAGAAAAAAACAAACAAACATGATATTGAAAGGATTTATTTTATGATTTTGTGTTAAAAAATGTGCTTATGTAATCCTTCTGAGCAGTTGTGCTTGTTGTCTATCGTTTCCAGGGTAACACAGGCATCACAAAGCTGGCGCCCAGTATAACCGCAGAGGACAAGCTGAGTGGTGAGTGTTTGATGCTGGGGATGGGGATGTGGGCGGGGCTTAGAGCATGGCGGGCCAATGGAGAACGGAAATGTTTAGAACAGAGAGGGAAGTGACTCTTCACACTTACAAGAGCCATTTGAAAATGCTTAAGTGCATGAGATACACCAAAACGTATTGTATCTGTTGCAAAACTGATTCAAAATTAAATAAAGTGATAAAGTGGAAAATCAGCTGCATAGTTCCATGGAAGAGAAAGTTAAAACCATACTACAGAACAGAAATCTGAGAGAAATGTTTTTTTTAGTGCAAGAAAATATAAAAGTGGGATTTTAATGTCTCAAAATGTACTCAGACACCTCAGAATACAGCACCCATGAAATTATGATTTGTTTAAGATATCATTTTCAGACACCTCAGTTGTTTTTGTTTTTTTCTGTCTCATCTCTCAATACCTACATAAGCCTTAACCTTCACTTTGTCTCACCTATGGGGACACACCAACAGTAACTGGCTTCCATTTGGTTGCAGGGAGAGTGCTTACCACCTGTGCCACTGTTCATGTTCTGTAGTCCATTATTGTCATGTATTATATTAATGATAATACTGGCCACACAGAGACCCGCTGGAGGGGAGTGGTGCGGAGACTGAAGAGCAGCTCCAGCTTCATCCACAAAAAGAAACAACTGTTTGGGAGACCTCTGAGTAAAGTGTGCGCTGGAGGCTGCCTGCCCAAAGCAATACTGGTGAGTGTGCATGTACCACTACTACCACTACTACTACTACTACTACTACTACTACTACTACTACTACTACTAACTTTAGTTTTTATTTAGGGACAACATACAGAGACATTAAGCTCATAAAACAGAAATGTTATAGCACATTATAACTAAATGGCTAGTTCCCATCTGCTGTCCATGATTTAGAGAAAACACACACACACATTACAATAGAGTGCATGGTAGTACACACTCATTAACAATACTGCCAGATTTAATTATTCCATAACCGCTTCCACAGAAATTGTTGTATAGTTTGGCTTTTCCCTTCACTCAGGAGATTGTTTCACTTCTTTATTGCATTCTAGGAGAAGAGTGTTTGTGCAAATGAGGTTTTGCGTTTTATCATACTACTGTTTGTCTTTATCACAGGAGATCTTGGTGTTGTTGAGAAAGCGAGGCCCATCCACGGAAGGTGCATTTCGAAAATCCTGCAACAACAAAAAGATGCAGGAGGTCCGGGAGCAGCTGGAGAGTGGGGCAGAAGTGTCGTTGGAGGAACAGCCTGTGGCCCTACTCGTGGGCCTACTCAAAGTATGTCACAGAAGACACAGATATCATTCCATGATTAATGAGTGCTGTAACCAGGCATGGGAAGGATACTTTGTATTTAGTTACAGAATACTGAAGACCTGATTCTACATGTTTCTTTACATGGTCCAATTACAGTACTGTATTCTGAATACTTTGAATATTTAAGCACTTAAATTATAGTGTAAAACGCAACATAGGATTAAAAGCAATTTTATGTTTGTTTCAACTTTAAAAATTGGAGCTGGAAATGAGATATTGGGTAGGATTACTCATAGCCAAATGTAACAAACATATACACAACAACCATTTATGGGAGCTGTCACAAACCTCAACATGCCTGTGATTTTTTACTGTTTGAAATCAACAGAATAGAATGCACTCTACCCACCATTGCTGTCCTTATTTGACATTTGATGAGTGTTAATAAAGTTCACAGTATGTGGTCTTGTTGCTGTTGTATCTGGATGAATGTACTTAGATGTCCTTGTGTTGCAGAGCTTTCTGAAGGAGCTGCCGGACAGTCTCCTGCACACTCAGCTGTATGAGAGGTGGATGAAAGCCTTCAACCAGGAGGAGCCCCAACAGAGAGTCGAGGAGTTCAAGAGGTCTGTCACTTCTCAGTAAACACACTGTAACCCAGAATAGACTTAGTCAAAACACGTCTATTCACTAAATAGTCTAAAGGGTGTTCGCGCTAATAACACAGACTACTGAAAATTGAACATGTCTCCAAGGAGACAAAACAGTGAGTACTGATAGTAATCAGTTACTAAGTAATTTTGTGCAATGTGTAGCTTTCCTTTTCCTTTTCCTTTTTTCTTGTGATAGATGCCATACTGTGGCAAAGTAATAAAGTATCAGTTGTGATAGTTGGAAAGTTACATAGTTCAGCTTTATAGTATCAATTAAATTTTACTTCCAAGAGCAGCTTTCACAAATCATATATTTTACTTGTACTTAACAGAACTGGTGTGACAACAGCTTTTTGCATTAATATTACATTTAAGGTTTAATGTCTTTTTCATCAAAACAAAAACTTTGTATTGTACTGCTAAACATGAAAGTAGAACACCAAATTCTTTTTCCCCTTTTGAGTTTGTTTTGCTTTTTAAATTAAGGGTACTTTCCCATGGAGAACATTTTTTCACTGTTCCACCCACACGTTCTACCTTACAGAGGATTCACAGTCACTTGATAATTGTGGTAGAAAATACATTTAAAGTGGCATTTCCGAAGTGCTCCATCTTTGCCACAGCAGACTGACCACTTCTCCATCTGGTCTGCCCCAAAGAGGAAGTTGGAGTTTGCACTAAGCTCATTTCTCTTCTGCTTTTTCCTTCCTCTTTTCTCAGAGTGTTGGAAGACCTTCCCAGGCCAAATGTTGTGCTGCTCCAATACCTCCTCTGTGTCCTGTACCACATCCAGCAGAACTCCCACTCAAACAAGATGAGCGCCACCAACCTGGCTGTGTGTATAGGGCCCACACTGCTGTGGTCAGCTGGCACACCCCTGGACGAACAGCCTGACCGCATGAAGGAGGTACATATTCAGTATGACTGAAAACCCAATGAATGATGAGTGATTCGGCAAGCAAAAATGTTTCGGCTCTCATGTAGAAGCCATTTTACATTTGATGGCACTGACTTGAGACACGAGGATTTATACTCCTCTGATTAACGTGGCCCTATAATGCATATTATTATTATTATTATTATTATTATTATTATCAACCTTTAACCATGCTATAGTTGTTGCTCCTCACCATTTACTCACCCAGAGTTGTATTCGGAGTGATTCATGCATGTTTGAGCAATCTTTAATCTCTTGATGTCAAGAGGCCAACCCCAATTTTCACTGCACCTGGTACACACCTGCTCCTCTGTTCTTACTTCATGCTCCAAATGCATTTTCTTAACCTGTGATACACGTTGGATTTGGCATTCACATTTTGTGATTACACTCTGACACTCACGGTGCAATTTTACAGATGATTCCAAACAGTCTTTTCTAATTTGTGATAAAAAAACAAACAAATTGCATAACAACAGGACAACAAAAATAAAGATTTTTATGCAGTTCAATGTGAAAATGTCAAAGTATTGAAGTAGTTTTAACTGTACTGTGGAACACTGTTGGCAAAGCAAAAAAAACCTGCATGGAGATAAGGAGGTTAGCACCAGATAAATTACCTAGGGCACCTTAAAAATGCAATCTTATCTAGAGAGAAAACAAATGCAGTGGTAGCTCGGGGGCTTTAGACATTGTGGTTGAGAAGCTCTTAACCTCAGGCACAGTTTCAGAAAGAGGATGCAAATCTCAGTTCAGATATGAGTGTGTGATTTGGATAAACAAAACAGCATGAAGATGCTGTGAGCACTGCAGGAGATGCAGCTACAGAAGTCAGAACAAGAGGCTGCAGTCACTACATCAGAATGCCCAGAGAATCAAATGTAGCATGAGGTCAGGTGGAATTTAACTGACACATTTCTTCATAAGAGCTTCATATGAGCTGTGATTATTCAGTCCCCAAAAATGTGATTTCAGTCAGTTAAAAGACGATTTGTCATTTGTGGATGATAAACTGTGGATATTTCTTTTCAAAGAGAATGACCTCATGTTATGTAAGCCCCTTCCCTCCATTTGAAATGATATGAAATTCTAAAACATAAATGCTTTGGTTCACATTAGAGCATTTTAGAGTTCCTATAGTTTAGACTCAGCAGGAGGGTAGAATTTGTATATAAAAAAAGTTCAACGTCTTCTTTGCCAACACAGCAAAACAAAAGCAATATTTTGTTTTCAAATGTTCCAAAAAGTGCTGCAGTTATGCAACTTGAAATACATGATTTTGTAATCATGTAATAAACTTGTGTAATTCAGTGAATGTAATGTAGATTACTGTGGGATACTGCAGCCACAGAAACATCTCAGTGCCCCTTTAACAAGGAGTAGATTCCATGAGACTGACTTTACTCTGGTTTTGCTTCAGGTGGCAGATCTGACACAGTTCTTGATCGAGCACTGGGAGATTGTTGGAGACAACATCCCGAATCTACTGGATACAGATGAAGGTATTTTTGAAGTTAAACTGTTGAAAGTGTGCATGCAATAAAAATACTTACATACTAACAAAATACTACAAATATTAGGTTAATAGATACTTACAAAAAATAAACATCAACACCAATTTTGTCAAATAATTAAGTAAAATCTGTTTTGGACCTAGTACAGATAAACTGTGCAGCAGGTGCAGGGTGTAAATAGGGTGAAGTGCACCAGTAGCATGTTAGTTGTTGTAAGTTTTACTTTGATGTAAACTCCTCCTCGGGCCACTGAAAGCATTTCAAAAACTCGTGGTGAATAATTCTTATGTTCAGAATGATTTAGGTAAGTAAGCAATAAATTTCAGCAGACAAAAAAGAGCACAGCACCTTTAACAAGAGTTATTTAAAGGTCTACTCTGTAACTTTTGAGCAGGCGCTGCCACCTGCACCTTCAGGGAAAAGTGATTTATTTGTCTGGCTGTAAAAGTGTCCTTGCTTTGAAAAAATTTGCATTCTTATGTTGAGTGAAGTAGCTTCTCCACATGTTTGACCTGTTACCTGACCTGGCCACCTGCTTGTTTACATGATGATGAATGTGTCTAATGCCATTCAGGAACATTTCAGGGAAAGCTATGACAACTCATGGAGACAAGCAGGTGGCAGATCCTCTACCAAAACATTACACAGTGCACCTTTAAAGCAGACCTATTCTGAAAAATTGACTTTTTAGAGCTTTTAACCATATTGTAGTTGTTTCCCCTCAGTTGACACTCTTGAAGTTGATTGGTTGCTTCTTTTCAAGAGGTCATATTGATGATCAATTGCTGCTCTCAGTGTCCCCGAGTATACACTCACTTCTTTGTACTTACTTGCTTCTCCAGTTTCAGAATTCTGCCTCAAAATGTCAAAATTCTAACATAATAATCCAGAGGTGTCATAGATTACAACTGTATATGTGTTCTATGTGCTTTTTAAGATGATTGGTCATATCCTTTGTGCATACACAGTCACTAATGTATTGTTATTCCTCAGACTCTGCGTCCTCTCAACATCATGACTCGGCCTATGACAGCACAGACCCCGATGGAGACATAGAGCAGGCTGACAGTTCCACAGGAGGCACTGAATCCACGCGGGACTTCTCCTCTCTCTCCAACATCACGCAGGAATCGTCTTCTCCTCTGACCTTCAACGCTCCCTTCACCCGCCGCTGCTCTGAACCCATCCTCCGCTTGTCTGCGGACTCACCCGGGCTCCGTTGCCATGCCTGGAGCCGTGATGACTGCTCCGTGCCCACTCGCTTCTCCTCCGAGCAACCACTGACAAAGCAATCCTCTGATGATGCCATTTTGAGCTGCAGGAGAAACTCCTCTTTCTCCCAAAACAACATGGATGCCTTGCTTTGCCATTCGACTAATCGCACCCGAGAGTGTTCCTGCTCCTCTCTGGACAGCAGCGCATCCAACCAATCTGAAGGATCAGTTTTTACGAGCTCTCCCGTGGGGTCCCCGACTTGTCTGAGGAAACCCAGCTCCTCACAGTTCAACCCTGAAAAGCTGGATGATAAAAAGCGCTCCCTGAAAGTCCTCCTCAGAGCTCGGAGTTTTAATCGGATCTCTCTGAAGAAGACAGATCTGCAAAGTGAAAGTACGTACCCATGTGAGACACTTCAAGAGGACTTACTGAGTGAAGCTGTGTCCCCTAAACCCCGCCCACTCTCAGCCATAGAGGTATTCAAACACAAAGACAGTCGACTAATGTGTGAGCCCCCGTCTTACCAACAAGCTGTTCAAAACATAGGACAACCCCCACCGTACGGCAGCATGACAGTTCAGGACGCCATTCAACTGGACAGGAGGTCTCGTCCGTCATCGGTCAACTACGACTGGCCCATAGTTGGACATGTGTTGAGGGAGAAGGTGGAGAGGGTGGAGAGGATGGAGAGGGTGGAGAGGGTGGAGCGGTTGGAGCGGGTGGAGAGGAGACCCAGGGCTATGTCAGAATCTGTACCAGCAGGACGTTCAGATTCCCTGCTCCGGAGATGCAGCCAGCCCCTGTTTGAAGAATTCTCATACGCAAAGGAGTCCTACGTTTGAGGAAAAGCTGTTTTAGAAGACTTGAGAATTGTTTTCTTCTTGTGTCCACGTATTATTATTGCACTTCATGGACTCAAATTAAGGCAGTGACGGCTGAGAAGCTCACTGCATTACACATTATACTATTCCTGGCATTGTTCTGAAAGACTGATTCATCTGATGACATAGAGTGTGTTGTCCTAAGCTGCAAAAAGAAAAACTAGAATATTAATACGCTCTGGAGTAGTCTTTATATACAGATAGATGGATAGATTCCATAAATTGTTTGAGAATTTGAACTGGTTTTAACGTGTGTGTTTTCAATATGACTTGTATGAGATAGACAGATACATGCAAAGTTTGGCAGCAACATAGAAACAGCATTTAAAGTTAAAGTTAAGAGTTCATTCTCTTGCACTCATCAGCTATAGGAAAGCTTTGTACAGATGTGTGGCACAAAGGACAAAGGACTCCCAGAGTGTGTGGATGGAGCAGACTCTACCTGTGGAGTAAATCCATTGTTTGTAAGATAAATTAGTAAAAAAGAACCCCATCAAATTACATCTAAAAGAATTGAACTGTGTTGTGTGACTTTTCTAGTTCACCTGCTTGTCCTTCCCAGCATGGCATTAAACTTTAGTATGTCTTTGTAGACAAGCAGGTGAGTTAGAAGTCAGTTGTGAGGGGGGACCCTGCTAACTGTGAGTGAGTGCACGTTTGTCAAGGTACTTTGGAGCGTGTCATTAAATAAATGCTAGAAAGTGACATAGTGCACCTTCTGATAACTCCTGTAAAATCTTCCTTTGTGCACTGTGTTTGAACCTCCCATGTATTGTGCAGTCTTTAAGCTATAGCCAGTATATGCTGTTGTACAGTTTTTGTTCTTATTTCTTTGTAAATAGAACACTCCTTTCTCCTCACTACACTCAGGCACTTTTACACATTTGTTTTGCTATGCTTGAATAAAGTCCAGTAGAAGTCATTGTACTTGTCATTTGTCGTGCACACATGCCATTGGGAACTCGAGGAAACAGTAAACAAAGCAATGAAAGAGCCCCATTTTGCATTTTGTATTCAGGGCCGTGATGTGGACTCAGTTTGATTTGAGTGTCTTCAGTTGCACATGTTGCATAACAGTGCGGCAGGCCTATAGACAGCACTCAGTGTTCCGACACAGACAGAGGAAACCAAATCACATGCTTTTTCTCTGAATTGCACTTCCTTCATGCCTTTCACCTCTAGTTCCTCTCTGCACAAAGTTAACATTCTCTTTCCACTTTAAGAATGATACTGATCTTGGTCCAAATTACATAAGTGAAGCCTTGTGCACGATTTTGTAGTTGCACAAACTTAAATTGGCCGTCAGTACTTTAGAGGAATATTTTAAATGAAATAGTTGCAATTGAAATAGAGGATGAGGAAACTGAAGAGAAGAGAGAGAGAGAGAGAGCATGTTACAGAATGAAGGGGCAGCTGAGACATGCAAAGCTCTCAGAGAGGACGTCCTGCACACAGAAAGAACAGTGGTCAAAGCAAAACCAATCCAATCCACTTTGTTTCTATAACACATTTCACAAATTGTTAGTGCTGCACAAATACATCATAATAACAACAATAATAACATGATCAAATAAACTACTAACATAATACTAGTCTTAAAATAATAAAACCAGCAAAATATAATAAGAACAAAACCATAGAATAGAAATAAATAAACCAATAAATAGATTAAAACCAATAAAAACACATAAAAATAAATAAGACACAGAGGACACACAAAAGTCAGAGAATAAAAGTGGGTCTTAAGATGAGACTTAAAACTCTCCACTGTGGGGCTGTTTGGACGTGGGGGGGCAGAGTGTTCCAGAGTTTAGGGCCGACCACAGAGAAGGTCCTGTCCTCGTGGTTTTAAGTCTCGTCTTAGGCCCCACGAGCTGGAGCTGGACCTCAGACCTCAGAGCGTTTGCAGGGGTGTGAATTTGGATAAGGTCTGAGTCGTACTGTGGTGCCAGAACATTCAAAGCTTTAAAAACAAACAATAAAATCTTAAAATCAATTCTAAAATGAACAGGAAGCCAGTGCAAAGATGTAAAGATTGGGGTGATGTGCTCTCTCCTTTTAGTTCCTGTTAAAAGTCGCGCTGCAGAGTTTTGGATGAACTGTAGTCGGTAAAGTGCGTTTGTGAAATGCCGGAATAAAGTGCGTTACAATCGTCCAGGCGTGATGAAATAAAAGCATGCATAACTTGTTCAGAAAATTTAAAAGATAAAAAAGGTTTAACTTTAGATAAAAGCCGCAAATGATAAAAACTTGATTTTAAAACATTGTTGATCTGTTTGTCAAATTTAAAATCAGTGTCTAAGGTGACGCCGAGGTTGGTGACTGTGGGACGAACATAATTTTTGAGGTGTCCCACATCAGTGAGGGAACTGCTGTCCGCAAACAGTATCACCTCAGTCTTATCTTCATTCACTTTTAAAAGGTTTTGGGCCAACCAAGCCTTAACGTCAGATAGTCAGTGGAGCAGGGCTGTCAGGGGGCACTGGGCAGTGATCCTTTTTGCCAGTGGGTAAGTAAATCTGTCAATCATCTGCATAAAAATGATAAGAGAGGCCATGTCTTTTAAACATTTCTCCAAGTGGGAGTAGGAAGTGCAAAACGCAAAGGCCCCAGGACTGAACCCTGGGGGTCACCACTAAGAAGAGGGGGGATGACGAGGTGGAGTCCCCCAGCCTCACAGTGAAGGACCACCCAGAGAGAGGTACGACCTAAACCAGAGAGGTACGACCTAAACCAGAGAGGTACGACCTAAACCAGAGAGGTACGACCTAAACCAGAGAAGTACTACCTAAACCAGAGAGGTACGACCTAAACCAGTCCAGGACGGTCCCCCTGACACCCACACGTTCTTCAAGATGTTTTAAAAGAGTTGTGTGGTCAACTGTGTCAAAAGCAGTAGTCAGGTCTAAAAGCACTAAAATGGCAGAATCACCAGCATCAGTTAAAAACTGGTCATTTAAAATCTTTAAAAGGACAGACTCAGTGCTGTGAAAGTCTGTAGCCCGACTGAAAAGTGTCTAAAGTATCATTTGCATCTAAAAAAGGCTGCGGCTGTGAAATAACAGTTTTCTCCAAGATTTTTACATGAAGGGAAGTTTGGAAATTGGTCGATAGTTTGATAAAATTGTGAGATCAAGACCTGTTTTTTTAAATCAATGGCTCAACCACAACTCTCTTACAAAAAGAGAGCACAAAGACAAACTGCTGTTAATCATTTCTTTGACCAAGTTGCCAGTTGTGTCCCAAACCTCCTTCAAAAAGCGAGCTGGGACTGGGTGTGTGGCTTAAGCTTTTTAACAATCTCTGTGATTACAGACAATGACACAGACTTAAACTAACTAAAAACATTTAAACAATGAGTCATGGCAACAATAGAACACGGCAGTGTAGTTATATTGGCTCTGATAACAGCAAACTTCTCATTAAAAAAGGAGAGGAGTTTCTCATGTTTCCTGGGTCATTTCCAGTGCAGTGGATGGACTGAGATTAAGAACAGAATTGATCGTATTAAAAAGAACACGAGGTTGATTAATTTACTTAAAGTCAGATCTGAGAAAAAATGTAGTCTTTTCAGTTTTAACAACACTCTGGTCATTTTTCCAGCTACTTTGAAGAATTTGATGAGACACCTCCAGTCTGTCCCTCTTCCACGTGTGCTCCGCTTTATGTGTACTGTCCTTAAACCATGGCTCTGGTTTGGGTTTGGGCACTTGGCTTTCAAAGGAGCTACAATGTCTAAAACACCGGTACAAAGAGACATATATACATTCATTAAATGCTCCGTGTGTGTACATGCAGGAGCCAGGGGGAGAGCAGACGCCGTAAAAAATGGAGTAAAAGCAGCTGCTGTATCGGGCTTAATAACGCGAACTTTGCGCACAGGAGCAGGCAGCATCACGTCACTGTCCAAATTAAAATCAAACATGACAGGATTGTGGTCAGAACAAACTGCATTCCCAACAGCAACACTGTCAACAGGGCAGCCGGAGGAGAAAACCAGGTCTAATGTGTCCATGTGTCTGCGCAGGACCAGTGACATATTGTGTCAAATTAAGAGTCAAACTGATCTAAAAACTGTCTGAAGGACAACAGACATGCACATTAAAATCACCCACAATTATAAACCAGATGAGTAGTCCAGGTCGGGGAATGTATATTGACACTACACTGACATTTAATATTCTCCAAATCACACAAGGTTGATCTTTTCACAGTCTGTGCTCCACATTGATCTGTTGCTGACCAAGACTTCATTAAAAATGTCCTGCTCTTAAAGGAATATTAAACTGGGATATCCTTGGAAAGTCCATATCTGAAGGTTATGGAAAATAATTTCATAAACACTAAGTCAGGAAAACAAACCAGTTTTATTGGTCCAAAGAGAAGTCTGGCAAAGTCTTTTTTTTGTAATACACACATAGATCTTGTGATAGAAATGATTGAGTATTTATGTTTTGAAGGATTTCTGTCAGAACCTGACTTTTCCTAAATGCATGTGATTGGTGCCAAACCAGGCGTGAAAGAAGATCTAATGTGCTTGTGTTTGTTTATAGTTATAATCAATGACACTGGTGAATCACTGTGTTATAATTTCCACATTTGAAATTACAATATTCATCTAAAATGACTTAATAATAAAAGAAAAGTGTGCAAAACGTCTGTGATGTGCCAAAACAACTATCACAATGATCCAATGGGTGTCACAGGAGTCTTGAAAAGAAGTGATTCAAGATTTCTCAAACATGCACAAATCCCTCCAAATCCAACTCCAGGTGAGTAAATGGTGAGGGGAAACAACTCGAACACGGTTAAAATCTGATTTTGTACACTAGGACTGCTCGAACAAATGTGAAGAAAAAAGAACCATCACCTGATTACAGAAGCAGAGACACCTCATCACTGATGTTTCCATTCCAATTTTTAGGAGTAACTATAGACCATAATTTAAACTGGAAATCACTCATAAATAAAATTAGAAATAAATTATCCAAAGTGATCACAATTATATACAAATATAGATATATCCTAGATAAAAACAGTCTTTTTATTCTATACAACTCGCTGGTAATGCCCGACATAACCTACTGTGTTGAGATTTGGGGCAGTACATATAAGACTAATACAAATCCAGTCTTTACCTGCAAAAAAAGGCAATAAGAGCAATCACATTATCAACTTATAACGAATCAACCAATGCATTATTTATAAACCTTCAAACTCTGAAATTTTATGATTTAGTCGACCTTTATACTCTGAAAATCATGTTCAAAGTAAACAACAATCTCCTGTCAAAATTTTTACAGAACATGTTCAAAATCTGAAAGAGCCAACATGAGTTCAGAGGCACAGCCACGTTTATAAAAAAGAAAATTAGAACAAACATTTTGTAAATCTGTTAAAGGGCTAGAGCTCTGGAACAAATGTACAGAAAACCTAAAATTGTGCACCACTCTCTTTCACTTTACAAAGGAGTTTAAATGTTTAACTCTGGACAGATACATGAATTATGATACTCAGTTTGTGCTGTAGAACTTTGTTGTTCTGTTTCTGATTTGTTTGTTTCCTCTTGCTGTATTTATGAAGATGAACTGGTGTTAAGATGAAGCTCTGAAAAAGGAATAAAGGGTAAAGGCAGAATAAGCTTAAGCTTCAGCCAACACCTTTTCGGTCTGTGTATGTTAAATATGACTGTCTGTGAATTAATGTCAAAATATACCTGTGACCCAAATAAATAATCAATCAATCACTAGCATGTGAATGGAAGACCACAGAGCCACTTGTCCCACAGGAAGTTCATCATCCGGGGGATTTGGGGAGGCAGACATTGACTGTGAAGCAGAGGGAACAATGACCATCTCACCTCTACAATCAATGAACATCTTATATTTCATCAAACATTTCATAACTCACCAAGACTCAGAA